CGCAAACAGGCCTAACTGTCCCTGACGGGTGATGGGTTGTGGAGTGGGGCTCAGAGTGACTGACCAGAGACGGTCAGGACCGCGCAAAGCAGCGAGAATGCAGAACACAGAACCTTCCAACCACTCAGTCAGCTTCTCACCCCTACCAAACACCCACTGAGGGCAGGCCCTGTGCTGGAAGCTTCATCAGGCAGCATGAACACAATTCCTACTGAGACGGAGCAGGCAGTTAAATGACCAACAGGTTGTGAGCAACAGGGAATGGTGGGGAGTGCAGCAATCGGGAACGTACACACACCCTCCAAAGGGGGCAGCCATGGTGCGGCTCCTGCCGGTTGCTGCTGGTTCCACACTGAGACGTGGGCAAGAGGTGCCCCTGCTCTTGGCTCAATGCCTTGAGGGTCCCTGTGCTGCCCCTCCTGTGGCTGCAGCCCTTCCAATACAGTAAGGAGTCCACAGGGGGTCATGGCACCTGGAACACATACCCATCCTTCTAGACCACATTCTGGGTGTTTGAGACCCCCAAATTCCCTGTCCAAATGGCCCAAGCCTGTCTCTTCTCAGAGGGACAAAAAACAGGACCAAGCCAAAGGGAAGATGGTCTGGGGGCAAATGGTCAGAGCTTACACATTCAGGTTAGGGTGTCCTCAGGCTCCCTGTGGTGCAGGATGGAGCCAGGGGTGAGAAGAAGGGGCAGAGAGCAGGCACTGCCCATGCTACCACTTTCTGGCACAAAACCCCAAGGAGTCCTAGATTTCTAAATTCCAGTCTAGCCTTCCAAGTCATTAGGAACACTTGTCAAGGTAGAAAAGATTGAACATATTCTAGTTTGAAGCTTCGTGAGAACTTCCACATTTGACCACATGGGATATGCACCCCTGCCCAAGTCCCACAAAGTCAGGGGCCGGGTGACTATGGCCAAGCAGGAACAGTGCTGGAAATATTGATTTTTATGTGACACCCCTTGATTTATAAATGTTGACAAATAATTCAATCACCACCACCATCGTCACGGTCATATCATCAACATGGCGGGGAGAGACCAAACACTTTTACAGGCTGGAGGAGGGCTGTGGGCTGCCGGCTTGAAACCTCTGCAACACCCAGCACCCGCGGAGAATTTCACATCAGTACGTTCAGCTCTCCAGGTCTACTTTCATATTTAATTGTCACAGTGACACCGAGACAGGCATTTCGGACCCACTCTGCAGTTAGGGGCACTGACACATGGAGAGTCAGTAACTGGTCTCCAACATAGAACTCATGAGTGGTGGTGACAGAATTTGGGTCACATCTTCCAACTGCAAGTCCAGCTTCCTCATACAGTGTTACTTGTTTCAGCCAGTGTCTATAAGCCTCCATGATCCTGACACTGTGCTGGGTACTTTTTCAGCGTTTTATGGGTAAGGGAGTTGTGGCTCTGAGAGCTTACGCGGTCAGGCGGGGCTGGAGCCAGTGGGAGCCAAGGTCTGTCTTCTCTAGAGCCTGAGTTTTGTCTTGAGAAGGAAAAAGCCCAAACATAAGGAGGTCTGTCGGGAAGCGTCTGCCCCAGCTAAAAGCAGAGGAGCAACAGAGAGAGCCTTTTGTCGGCTGCCGTATGTGTGAGTTAGAGCCGTAGGAAGTTGCAATCTGTGCTCGGAGGCGGGGGTGGGTGGAGTCTTACCCAGTTCCTTAAATTGATGAGTGTAAAAAGAATCCACCGTGAAAATCCTGTTGAAACAAAGACCTGCACAGACTCCATTAGTCTGGAGGCGTTGGGTACACCTGCCGTAGCCAAGAACAAGGGTGATGGGCTTCCCTGGTGGTGCAGTGGTTGAGCGTCCGCCTGCCGATGCAGGGGACGCGGGTTTGTGCCCCGGTCCGGGAGGATCCCACATGCCGTGGAGCAGCTGGGCCCGTGAGCCATGGCCGCTGAGCCTGTGCGACCGGAGCCTGTGCTCCGCAACGGGAGAGGCCACAACAGTGAGAGGCCCGCGTACCGCAAAAAAAAAAAAGAACAAGGGTGTTTACAAACAGGTGACCGCCCGGGGGCTGCAGACGGCAGGCCGGGCCCCCACAAGGCCTCGGGGGCGTCAGACCAGCCCACCGCAATACATCTGGTCTGCAAGCTGATGACCAGCCTGATGCCCATCACGTCTGTGTGCTCGGTGCCAGGCACTCTCAAGATGCTTGACATCCACGATCCCACTCAGTCCTCGCAAGAGCCGTGCCAGACAGAGCACTGCGAATTCTGTCTTACAGGTGATGAAACTGAGGCCTGGAGGCGACTATCACCTCCAGGCCAAAGGTCACACAGCTGATAACTGGCAGAACCAGGATCTGAGCCCAGAACTGGCAGTTCCCAAGGTCCGTCTTCCTGACCACTGGGGATATTGCCTGCTGCTCCACAAAGACTGTCAGCTCTGCTTTCACGGACTAGTCAGTTTCTGGAATGTGCTCTATCATCTGAAAAAAGGGTCGAGCGACTAGTAAAGTTAAATGCTTATGCTCTTGGGAGGATTAAAGGAGAGAAAACTTGAACAGCACTGAACCTGGCGTCCGGCACAATGAACGCTGTACAGCCTCGGTTCTCTGCGATCTCACCAAAGGCTCTGCCTGCCTCGGCAGCCCCACCTCCCGCTCTTCCTCCCAGCAACCCCCCACCCCGCCCCCCCAGCCCAGCCCCAAGGAGCCACCCACAGCGTTCCACGCAGGCTCTGCCCTCGACCCAGTAAACTGCTCGCCTACCTTTGGAGATCCTGTTCGATGCAGTCCCCCCGAGGAGTCAGGCCCCGCCACCCCCCAACCCCATGCAGGGGTAGCTCTTCGCAGACCCGTCTGGGCTTTAACAGTCCAGACCTCCGTTGTGGCACTTATTTGGGGGGTGTAATTACATGTTTATGGATCTGTTTCCCATAACAAGCTCATCTGAGATCCAATATGCCTTCAACAGGAACAGGCAGAGGAACTGAAGACGAATATACCACTAAGTCTGGAAGTTTCGGAGCACCTGGGATGTCCAGCTTCCCATGCCGCACACCAGAAAGCCAGCTTCCCATGCCGCACACCAGAAAGCCAGCTTCCCATGCCACACACACACCAGAAAGCCAGCTGCCGCAATGGGAGGTTTACTGAGCCCTTCCAGGAAGCACTGCATCGAAAGCCATAAAAAAAAGTCCAAATGATCCTTTTGACCCAGTAGTTCCAGGAAGACTTGCTAAGGAAACAGTTGGGGAAACAAGAAAAGAAGTTTTATGCCCAGAATCACCTCTGGATTCTGACGGTAAAAACAAACGAAATAAGCAAGGAATTTCAACGTCCAACCACGAAAGGGTGGCTGAGTCACCTACAGTAACACTAATGCTTGTCTGTTGACTATTTATACTCGCCAAGGGCCAGCCACTTCACTGCACCATTGTGTCCTCACACACAACCTAGTGAGGCAGACAGCGTGTTATCCCTGTTGCAGGAACCGCTCTGAGGACTGAGGGCCCTGGGACAGCCACACTTCTCAGCCGTCTGGGCACGATCGCAATTTCTGCTCACAGCAGCGTTGTGAGACAGCTGCTCTTCACACCCTCCCTTTACCAACAAGTGACTGAGGCTCAGGGATGTCAAGAACGGGTTCACAGCCACACCACACTCCGGCCAAGTCCACGGTCTTACCCTCTAGGCTCCAGCCATCGTTCCCCAGGTCACTCAGCAGCCAGTAGCAGAAGAGGGCTTGGGGGACCGGGGCATCTGCTTTGGGACCACGTGGTTTCTACCAGGAGACGTTCCTCCTGCCACAGGCTGCAAACCACCTCTATTATGGGTTGAATTACATCCCTCCACAGATGGCGAAGTCCTGACTCCCAGTGCCGGTGAAAGTAACCCCTTCCGGAGATAGGTTACTGGCAGATGACCAAGTTAAGATGAGGTCAGTAGGGTACACCCTAATCCAATATGACCGTGTCCTTAGAAAAAGGGGACATTTGGTCACAGAGACAGGCACGCAGAGAGCAAAGACAATGTGAAAACAGAGGGAGAATGTGATCTACAAGCAAAGGAAAGCCTGAGGCTACCAGAAGCTAGGAGAGGGGCATGAAACAGGTCCTCCCTCAAAGCCCCCAGAAGGAACCAACGCTGTTGACGCCACAACTTCAGATTTTAGCCTCTAGAACTATGACAGAATAAATTTCTGTAGCTTAAGCCACTCAGTTGTTACTTTGTTACAGCAGCCCCGGGTTGTTAGTCACTTATCAAACTATGAGGCAACTAGGAAAAGGGTGATAACAGGGGCCAGGTACCTGATCGCAACTACAGTGTAACCACACCTGGCTGCAGAGAGACGCCTGAAGGCAAACACAGCAGCGTAACCAAGATACTTTCCAGTTTTATCTTGTGCTTCTACGTTTTCCCAATTTTACCCAGAAAGTTTGCATTACTCATAAGTTTTACACAACTGTTTTAAAAATATATGTATTTGAACCAGGAGAATCTGGAGGTGTGTAAGAATCCTTGTTATGGGCTGAACTGTGGTTTCCCCCAAATTCGTATGTTGAAGGTCTAAGCCCCAGTACCTCAGAATGTGACTGTATTTAAGATGGGACTTTTAAAGAGGTAATTACGTTGAAAATGAGTTGTTAGGATAGCTTCTACTCCGATATGACTGGTGTCCTTACAGGAAGAGGAGATTAGGACAGAGAGAGAGAGACAGGCATCAGGTACCTGCACACAGAGAGAAGACCATGTGAACACCCAGCGAGAAGGGGGCCAGCTGCAAGCCAGGGAGAGAAGCCTCAGAATAAAAAGAGACACATCAACACCGTGACCTCGGACTTCTAGCCTCCAGGACTGTAAGAAAATAAATTCTTGTTGTTGAAGCCCCTCAAGCTGTGCTCTTTTGTTACGGCAGCCGTAGCAAACTAAGACAAGGAACCAAAAAAGGGCAATCCTTCCCACGACCCCCCGCACTGCCAGCTGGAGCTGAGAAACAGGCAGGGTGTGCCCAGAGGGCAGGGCACAGCTGCTTCACTCACCCAGGCAGTTGTGTCCATCGTGTGCCAGCATGAAGCCGTCAAAGCAGGTGCACCTGTAGTTCCCCGGGATATTGATGCACTCGTGGACACAGCCCCCGTTGTAGTAGTCATTCTCACACTCGTCGATGTCTGCAAAATGAGGTGCATGAGAGGTGTCAGAGGAAGAGCCTGGGGGTCCCCTCTCCCCCCACTGCTGAAGTCACCAGTACATGAGTGGTTAGGGGATGACTCAACAGGTGTTTACTAAAGTCCTTGCTGGGGGCGGGGGGCCCAAAGGTTACAGAGATGAAGATCCTGGCTCTGCCACAAGGTTGGTCACCGCCTTGGGGAGCAGGGCCACATGCCAGGCATGTTTGGGGTGATTTTCAGATCCCCCCTACAGAGAAGCAGGTGAGATTCCCACCCCTATCTTCCCCCTTTGAAGCCCTCTCAACACTAACAGCACGCAGGGACCCCGTCTAAAATCCCCCCAAACTGCCTCTTTTCAGGATATCTGAAAGCTTCCCAGAGGTGGAGACCTCATTACTTGTGAGGCAGGGGGTATGAGATAAATGAACTTTGCACACCACCAAAAAATGTAGCCTCTGGAATGAGAGAAAAGTCCACATACTCCCCCCAGAGTTTCCTTCCAGATCAGCGTCTGAAGTCTGAATTTCGACTGCTCCAGTTTCCTTGTCACAACAAAGCCTTCTGTCTCATAAACAATGGCCAATAGCCTTTGTAAAGGTCACCCTTTTTCCTGTTTTAAGTCTTTCTCAACATTTCCCATCAGGGGTCAAAGAGCTATCAGTTCTGAAGTTCCAGAGAGATCTGAGAGACCCTGGAGAGCAACAGAAGCGAGTCTAGTTAACATTCAATGAGCTGCTTCTATGCCCAAGTCCCGGGGGGCGACACCACGCGCCATCATCGACCCAGTCCCCATGCTAACTCTGAGACATAGGCACCATCGTTGTTATTCCAATTTTACAAGGGCATCGAAGAAGCCGAGGCACAAGAAGGCCAAACCCTTGCCAACGGTCACACACCTAGAAGGGCTGTAAGTGGGATTCGACCAGTGCAACCCCCCAAGGCAGCAGAAGGGAGGGGGTGTTCAATCTACCCACCCAGACCTCCACAGGCTCTGCAGAGAAGCAGGAAAGGGGGCAGCCAGAAGTGTCCCACAGCGGAACCAGAAGTTCCCCAGTGGAACCTGAAGTGTTCCCACAGCCAAACCAGAAGCAGTACTGCCCCGTCTCAGCAGTACTAGAAGTGCTTTGCAAGAGGCTACCACGTGGGAAGAAGCAGTCTCTCCTCTACCTGGTCGAAGAGGGATTTTTGAGGCCAGGCTCCAGCTGTGAAAGCCAGGAAGGGGCCAGCCTGAAGAGAGGGAACTGAAAGCAACCCTGGCCGTTCCTGCAAGTGCCTGAGGAGCTGGCACAGGGAGACATCCAGCTCCATGCTCTCTCCAAGCGGTCCAGAGGGCAGAGCTACTCACAGCAGGGGAAAGCCAAGGGGGCCAATTGATGTTCACGGGTAGGTATGTCCATCTGGAAGACAGGGCCTGTCTCAGGAGGTAGTGAGCTCCCTGACCCTGGAGGTGATCAAGCACTGTCTGGGACACTGCCAGCAGAGGGAATAACTTCATTGAAAACTGCAGCACTGAAAGTGCTAGAATACAGGGTCTGAGCTGCACAGCCTCCTCCTGGTGCCCACCCACCCTGCCACGACGAGGGAAGAATAAGGTTGCCTGGATCCCCAAAGGTGCAAGACACAGGGGGTTTCCTGCTGCAGAGGCCATCAGTGTCAGCTGGGAAGCAGGCTCAATTCTGTAAGTCATTTGCATTGTTTTTAATCATTATACTTAATGCACTTAGACGTTTTAAATAACATTAAAGCAGGATGTAAGATTCTGTGTTTGAAAGGGCACATGGATTTATAAAGAGAGATATTGATTACTTCCCAATCTCTGCAGCTCCGACCTTTTGCTAGAGCCTCAGATACACCAATCCAACCACCTCTCCCCCTAGATCATCCACGCTCACGCCAAAGGCAACACGGCCCAACTTTAACTCATCAATCTGCACTTCCCTGGGGTTCCCCATCCCAGTGAATACTGTTATCCTTCCACCTCTCCACTGACACCTATCAGCTACCAACACGTGAATTTTCTACACTCTTAACGTGGGTACAGTCTGCTGACTGGTCGCCCATGTCCACTGCCTGTACGCGTGAGCATCATCTCTCATCTGATCCGAATCAGCAGCTCGCGAACTGCTGCCTCCCTCCTTTCCTTCATTCAAGCAGGTGGCTCAAAAGAAGACGGCTTCTCTGGTGGCGCAGTGGTTAAGAATCTGCCTACCAATGCAAGGGACAGGGGTTCGAGCCCTGGCCCGGCAAGATCCCACATGCCGCGGAGCAACTAAGCCCGTGCACCACAACTACTGAGCCTGAGCTCTAGAGCCCGCAAGCCACAACTACTGAGCCCACGTGCCACAACTACTGAAGCCTGCGCACCTAGAGCCCGTGCTCCGCAAAAAGAGAAGCCACAGCAATGAGAAGCCCGTGCACCGCAACAAAGAGTAGCCCCTGTTCACCGCAACTAGAGAAAGCCCACGCACAGCAACGAAGACCCAACACAGCCAAAAAAAAAAAAAAAAAAAGATGGCCTGATTCCACCTGTCCGGGTGGAGCCTGAATAGTCTAACTCAGACAGTAGATGGCATAGCAACTGCTGCGGGTCCCAGGGTGGGCACATGACTTAGGCTGGATCAGTCAGACCGAGGGGAAGGACTTTTATTCCATGCTTGGGCAGAAGAATTCTCTCTCTCTTGTGCTGTACCTCAGTATGCAGGTATCTACTCCTGAAACATATACCAGCTTATTTAATTTTCACAGCAACCCTCTGGAGTAGGTATTTTAACTCCATTTTATGGTTAAGCAAAGTAAAGGGCGGAGAGGTAATTGCTCAAGGTCACATAGTAAGTGGTAGGGCAAGGATCAAAACAAGTGTCTCTCAGTTTACAAAGCCCATATCCTTTCTAGTAAGTTAGAATGCCCATGACATGCCAGGCATTGATAGGCAAAGCACTTTATATATGTTATTTCACTCTTGGCACATTTACCCTATGTACCAAGAAAGTGTAATCTAATCATCAAAACGTCCATTCACACCTTCATCCTTCCACTTGCGCCACATCCATACACACACACACTTGTGTGTGCACCTACCCATCAACCCAGATAGCCAGCCAGTCAGTCATGCATCCACTCATCCAAACATCCATCCACCCACCCACTATCCATCCATCTAGTCCCTCCAATAAGCTGTTCACTCAGATGCCACCCTTCCATTTGTCTATGCAGGCTAAAAGCTATCCATCTAAATATCCAGTCAGCTGACCACCCTTCCATTTATCCAATCACCTATCCCCCACCCACTTATCCAGTCAAACATCCACCCATGCAAGCATGCATCCATCCATCTAAATATTCAGCCAGACACCCATCCTTCCATTCACCTAAGCATCTATTTATCTAAATACTTATTCATCTAAATGTCTAACCATCTATCCATCTACTCATTGATCCAAACACCCACGCATCTATCCAAACACACACACACACACACACACACGCACCCCTACTTGTTCATCCATCTATCCAGCTAAACATTCACCCATCCATCCAACCAAACACCTATTCATCCATCCATCGGTGACTTCAAACATCCTGCATCTAAACAGCCTACAAAATACATACAAAAAGGTTTTCAAAAAGAACAGATGTTAGGATGAAGAAAAAGAAATGAGGGTTGCAGAATAAGGGAAAGCTGGGCAGTGTATGCAGAAATACATTTGGTAATTCCAGCACAATGACAAAAGGAAGGCCTCAAATAGGACTTTGAGTTTCCTGGAAACCAAGGCAAGGAAGGAAACACGATCAGTTATAGAGTCACCACATCCATAAAATTCCATTGAACAAGCTGTTTTGAGGGTGATAAGGTCTGAGAAAATCGTCTTTCCCCAATTAGGATAATCATACACCCATATTTGCCTGGCATAGTTCCAGTTTATGCCTGCTGTCTGGGTATGATTTTTAACAGCAACATTTTCACTATCAAAATGATAAACTACTCGATCACCATACACAAAAGACATTATAAAGAGATTGCTGGAGAGTCCATAAAACAACTCTAGCCTTTTCCTTCCTTTGACTCCCCATAATGTAGGCCACAGTGGGTGCTGATTCGCTGAAGAGTGCAAGAACGTTTGCTGCTCACATTTCTTCCCTTAATCCAGTCCCAGAGAATTCCCCCAGATCTGAGCACCCCTTAGAATTATCGGTTCCTCTCCAATCCCCAGGCCTGAAGTGCTCTCACAGGCTTCCGAGGCCAACCTGCTTTACCCACCCACCCAGCATCCGTCCTGAATGGAGAACGTCTGCTCACAAACCAAACCTTCCCTGATTTTCTGTGTATGTGCCTTGAATTTTTGTTCTTTAAAATCGTGTGAGCCTCCTCCTTTAATACATAAGAGATAAACACATAAACAAATCAACCAAAAAAAAAAATCCCTGCCAAAGCTAGTAGATTTATTATTGTAAAAAAACATAACAAAGAGCCATCGGCCCCAGAGGAGGTCCTGCAGGCCTCCAAGATGCCCATCAGTCTCAGACCACCTAAAAAGAATTTTTTTTATTTAAGTATAGTTGATTTACAATGTTGTATTAACGTCTTCTGTACAACAAAGTGATTCAGTTATATATATATATATATTCTTTTTTAAAATATTCTTTTCCATTATGGTTTATCATAGGATACTGAATATAGCTCTCTGAGCTATACAGTAGGATCTTGTTGTTTATCCATCCCATATACACTAGTTTACATCTGCTAACCCCTATCTCCCGCTCCATCCCTCCCCCAAACCCCTCCCCTTGGCAGCCACCCGTCTGTTCTCTATGTTGGACCACTTTCTAAGGACTGTTAAGGTCAGAGAATGAGGAACAGGCGGTTGGAGAGCAGAGAGGGTAAAGGAATGGAGGGGGGCAGAGCCAAGCTCTCGAGATCTTTACTCTTTTTTTAAAACTTGAAGTATAGTTGATTTACAATATTGTGTTAGTTACAGCTGTACAGCAAAGTGATTCAGTTA